AAAAAAAACGTGTTTTATTTACCTGATGAAATGAACGCCTATGGAGCCGCCACGTGTCACCTCCAATGCCGTTGGATTGGCGACTATTGAGTGACCCATTTAAAAGACTCGTTCTAGGGTTTGAGATGATAACATTTTTGGCTTCGAGATTCTTCTTTTCTCTCACTCTTTGCACCGTTCTTCGAGTTCTCTCTTCTCTTCACTGATAAAATCAAATAGTCTCATTTGATTTCTGTTCAATAGTTTGTAATCTTGAGTGATTTATCTGTATTGAGTATTGATTCTTGAGTGCATCGTGTTATCTGAGAAGAAAGTTCCTTTTATGAAATATTTAGGGCTTGTCTGAGTGTCGATCCTTGTAATATTTACCTCGGGGTTTGATTCAAGCATTGTGGTGTTAATTCTTGTGTGATTAAAGCATTGTTTGTATGAATTTGGCCTGTGGGCTTGATTAATAAAGATAAGTTCATTTTTCAGTCATTTCTTGAGCTTATTTCCTGTTTGAGTTTGCAGTTTATTGTTCCTATCATTTCAGATTCTGATTGTTGTTACTTTAGCTTATATTTGTTTATTTGTTTCTTGAGCTAATCAGTGAATCTCCTCCCAACAATTTTGAATAAAATAGAACCCCAAAAGGGGCTATATAATCATTATAATTTTACTGCAAAGATAAGATTATTAATCCCTGTTTGGTGGAGAATTAAAATTAGTTTTTAATAGATTTTGATAAAAATTAATGAAATATATGGTTGAAAAGTTATGAATTCCATAAAATATATAATTTCTTATAAAAATAATAGAACAAGAAGAGAAGAAAATATAAGAGTTAAAACTCAAATGTGCATTTATTGAGAATCAATACCAGTATTTATAGTGTTTAAAATAAGAGTTACAATTGAAATGAAATAGATTCTCTGAACTAAATAAAACTCATCTATATATTATGATAATACTAAATAATCAACAATAATGATCTCATTATTTTACAACACTCCATTTGATGATTATTTGTACAATAACTACCTCATTAAAATCTTGTTTGATAAAAACTCAATGGGACAAAAAAATCAAACAAAGGAAAAAGAGTAAGTTATTTTGAAGTATTAAAAATAATTGATACCTCATTAAAACCTTGTTAGGAAAATCCAGTGGGATAAAACTTAAGCGAAGGAAAAAGAGTACAACTACTCCCCCTGATATTGATTACAGAAAATCTTTGAGTAGATGCATTCAAATCTTGTGAACCAATTTTTTGAACGTAGATGTTGACAATGCTTTTGTAAATAAATCAGCCACATTGTTACTTGAACCAATTTGTTGAATATTGATGTCGCCATTTTTCTGAAGCTCGTGTGCATGAAAGAATTTTAGACAAAAATGTTTCCTCTCCTTTAATATAATATCATTTGAGTCGTACAATACAAGCAGCATTATTTTCATACAAAATTGTTGGATTATTTTTTGTTGAAATTAATTCACGTGATACTTGGATATGATGGGTCATATTCCTCAACCATACACATTATCGGCCTGCTTCATGGATAGCAGTAATTTCAGAATGACTTGAGGATATTGCTACCAATGATTCATTCACAGATCTCCATGATATAATTGTTCCTCCACGTGTAAACACGTATTATGTTAGTGATTTAGTTTTATGTGGGTCATAGAGATAATCTGCATCTGCATATCTCACTAAAGTAGATCTCGACTCCAACTTTTGAGAATAAAATAATCTCAAATCAATAGTGTCCTTTAAGTAACGAAAAATATGTTTAACATCGTTCCAATATCTTTGTGTTAGTGTAGAGTTATATCTTGCAAGAAGATTTACAGAAACAGCTATATCGGGTCAAGTACAGTTTGTAAGATAAGTTAATACTCCAATTACACTAAAATGTGGTACTTCATGACCAATAATCTTTTTTCCATTTTCAAGTGGACGAAAATTATCATTTTTCACATCAAGTGATCGAACAACCATAGGTGGTGCCAATGGATGTGCATTATTCATATAAAATCATTTTAAAACTTTTCTGTATATATAGATTGATGAACAAATAATCCTTCTGGAAAATGTTCAATCGACAACCCGAAACAGAATTTGATTTTTCTCAAATCTTTCATCTCAAATTCATTTTTCAAATAATCTGCAGTTTTGTTAAACTCTTCAGAAGTTCCAATTAAATTTAAGTTATCAACATAAATTATCACAATTACAAATTCAATACTTGTTCTCTTTATGAAAACATATGGGCAGATATCGTCATT